AAGAAATAGGCATGGACAGTGCTGATTAAGAAATGGATTCAGGAAAAAAAAAATAAAGAAATGGACCCAGGCTCCTGGACAAAGCATACATAGACAAGGGAAACGTGAGTTACTACCTCTGAAGTTTCTCCTGGATTTCTTCTCTCCCCAGCTCAGCTAGCATCCCTAACTTCCTTCACTGTCCCACTACTTCTCCCTTTAGACTTTGTATAACTTACCTTCTACAGACAACCTCCCTCCCCACCCTTTCGTACCTCCTCCAGTGGCAAAGGCTCCACCCAGTGAGGACATCCCTCACCCCCATGCTTATCATGCACATCGGTTACCTTAAGCATGACCCCCATCATGGTCACTCACAGACGACCCTTCCCATCCTCCCACCCCTGTCACTCACAATAACCCCGCACTTCGGATCAAAAGCGAAGGTGCCACAAGTGAGGAGGTGAGAGGCATTGGCAATGGCGAGAATCTGGACAAAATTGTGACATTCGTCCTGGGGGTCAGAGATGGTTAGAGAGAATCAGAAGCAGCAGGTACAAGGAAAGGTAGGGTAGTGTCAGGCCAGTTAGATACAGCTCTGGGGTCAGTAATGATGGGTAATGATATAGTGTTAAGAGTTCCTGCCTGGGCCCACTGGGATGGCAGCACTGCAGGGGACTGACAGAGTCAGGGCTGGGTCAATGTTTCAATTGACACTCAGGACAGGGCCCAGATTTACACCTACCTCCTCCTTGCCTTTTGCCATACAGTTCTGTTTTTCTCCCTCAGGTACCATCCAGTCAATCTAAGAAAGGAGGAATGACCATTTCCCCCTGATTCTCCCCAAAGTCCTCCCAAGTCAGGGTAGATAACACAGTTCCACAAACTCCATCAATTTGGGAACTGCAGAGACACCCCTCACCCCCAGAGCACTGTTTTTAAAACTGGAGGTCCCCAGCTATTAATGGGTAATAAAATCAATTGTAAAATCACAGCCAACATTACTTTTAACAAAATATATCTGAATGTATCTCATATGGGAGAGTAGATATTGGTTCAAGTACACACTTTGTGTACGGAGTCAAAATATACCATATATTTCTTATTAAGGGCTGATCAAAAAAATTTGAAAGCTATTGTCTTAGATTAACGTGATTCTGCCCACTATCACCTAAAACCTGGTCACTGTGACCTCCTCCCCTCATCATAAAACTCCCTCACACCCTCCTCCATCACCATGACCCCCTAAACACCCTCAGCTGAGATAATGTACTTGATGTCCTCCCCTATTCATTTTCACTAACATTTCACTTCATACCACAACACCCCTTCCTGACCTCCCATAAAACCATGGATCTAATCACATGCTCTGGGGTCTTCCCCGTTCTCATCTCTCACCCTTCGAGGTCTCTCCCCTGAGAAGGGCAGAGACAAAGCGAAGATGGTGTCCCGGGCGCCGACATAAAGTGTATGGGAAGCAGGATCCACAAGGAGAACAGAGTAATTGTATGTCTGAGGGACGGTGAACCGGGTAAGATAAGTGTCAGCCTCTGGCAGAAAGAGAGGGAAGAGTGATATCAGCCATCGCTTCAGAAGGGTTAGGTCCACACGGCCAGAACAGCCAATTTTTGTTTTCTTCCATTTATTTATTAGCCATCAGGGGGAAAAGACAGAGCCTGACAGACCATGTAACTTTCCCAGAGATAGATAACTGATGAGGCCAGAATATTTAGCACACAATGCAGTCAAGTGTTTTCTTTTTTTATAAAAAAAGAACACTTTTTTAAAAAAACAACATAAATATTAAGTCTGTAAAATCTATTCATAGCAACATGACACACAATTTGAAAATATCTATAAAAGCTTCAAGTACTCTCCTCTCTAAATTTCCCTTTAAAAACAAAAACAAAAACACTGCTTAATAATAACTTCATTTACTTAGAAGGGAAATGCTACACTCTTTTCACTAA